GGGAGCGCAGTGATCAACCCTTAGACTAACATATATGGTCTTGTAGCAAGTTATTACTACTGTGGATAGTTTATTTTGGGGGCCGGGCCTTTTAGCTCTCCCATATTTGATACTCTTGTCTTCTAACTACCATTACCCCTTAATAGTACCAGTACCCCATAGAAGCCCCACTCATATCAGTAGTAACAGTGAGCACAGCAGCGACCTCCCTGCAAAATGCGAGCACAGCAGCGCCCACCCTACACTCAGTGAGCACAGGGGTGTGCTCCTGAGTGCAGGGTGGCCGTGGCCGTCCATATGCACTGGCCGTCCATACAGCCTCCTCCAGGCCTGTCTCAAGTTGGTAAACACCCACGGTCAATACCCACGGCCAGCAACCACGGCCAGCACCCGCGGTCAACCCCCCCACCGGTCAACACCCCACCTTGTAAGACCATCACCACTGAACAGAAGTGTCCAAAAATGGCTTTGATAAAAACGTGCTTAGAATGCAACATGAAGGTAGATTACCAACAGAGCTCTCAATGCCAACTCTGTTCAGCAGCCATACACAAAAAAATGTGCCAACATGACTAACAATTCAAGGAGAAATGGTCCCAGTGACCACTCTGTATACTGGCTCTGCAAAAAAGATGATGTAACTTTTTTGAAATTGATGGTATTCCTGGGTAAAACTCCCGCCGAAAACAGAGAATTACTAATTAATGCCTGCATAGCAATTTCTAATGTCTTCAAACAAACTGTACATGATACCAAGGTACAACCAGCTGTGGCACAGAGCTCGGTGGCAGCAGCACCTGAGCAGGGCGCGGAGTCGGGGACGCCTGAGCAGGGCGCAGAGTCGGGGACGCCTGAGCAGGGCGCGGAGTCGGGGACGCCTGAGCAGGGCGCGGATTCGGGGACGCCTGAGCAGGGCGCAGAGTCGGGGACGCCTGAGCAGGGCGCGGAGTCGGGGACGCCTGAGCAGGGCTCAGAGTCGGGGACGCCTAAGCAGGGCGCGGAGTCGGGGACCCCTGAGCGGAGCGCGGTGTCACAGGCCCCGGAGCAGTGCGCGGTGTCACAGGCACCGGAGCAGAGCGCGGTCTCACTGGCACCGGAGCAGGGCACAGTGTCGGGGACACCGCAGCAGAGTGCGGTCCCTGGCAAAGGGAAACAAACAAAACAAGGCCCCAAAATCTGCTGGTATTACAAATGGGCTACCTGTAAGTATGGGGAATCGGGAAGAATAAATGGAACATGTAAATACGATCACCCTAGAAAGTGCAGAAACTTCCTCAATACAGGTAAATGTACCAAAAGCTGTGAATTCTATCACCCAGAAATTTGCAAGAACTCTTTCGACAGGAAAGAGTGCTTCAATGCTGAATGTCCAGCTTTTCATATAAGAGGTACCAGGCGAATAAAACCGACAGACTACCACTATGAAAACAGCCACTACTCCATCGACCGGGATAATTTTTTAGCAAGAGGAGGAAGAGAAGAATGGCTAAAAATGACCAGACTCTACCACCAACTCTGTCAAATGCAAGAGAGGACGCAAACACAGTGGCCTCCTTACCAGAGCCTCAGATATTAACACCAAGTAAAGCATCCAGCACTTCCACTAACACGATAACATCATTTATATTTGCCAACATCCAGGGTATAAAAGCACGCAAATCCAACAAAGTTCACTTTATAGATGGTCTCCTTCATGAGGCAAATGCAGTGTTTGCAGCCCTAACGGAAACTCACACAAAGGACTACCTTGATAGTGAAATATGGAACTCAGAATACAATCTCTTCAGATGTGATAGGAAACACCGGCTTCAGGGTGGGGTCAGCCTCTATATAAAAGACACACTCATCTGTACTGAGCTGCTAAACACCTCAAATGATATGGTGGAAGTGCTGATAGTCAAAATAGAGATCCTAAATGTAGTTGTTGTCCTTGTATATAAGTCACCGGAGGCAAACTCTCAGCAGTTTAAAGACCAACTAATGAAAATAGAGCACTGCTTGGAAAACCTCACAAATCCAGCTCCGAACATCATCCTGCTTGGGGACTTCAACCTACGGCACCTGAAATGGAAGCACCTGGCTAATACAGTAATATTAGAAAGAATACCAGGAAGTAGCCTAAATGAACAGGCACATGCAAATGACCTGCTACGGATGTGCGATAGGTTTGCCTTAAACCAGCAAATAGTAGAACCAACTAGGAAGGAGAACACGCTGGACCTCATTTTCACTAATAATGATGAGTTGATCGGGAACATAATGATTACAAATACCTGTTACTCAGATCACAACTTAATTGATGTTCTGACAACCATGGGAAATGGACCTTGAAAACCAGTCCAGATTCCCGGTGGAGGAGATTTCAGCAAATTCAACTTCAATAATAAACGGATAAACTGGGAGCAAATAAACCAGGACTTCACAGAAATAAACTGGGAAGAACAGCTAGGAAATGCAAACCTGAACCAGTGCCAGGAAAAAATAAGCTCAGTAGCACTAGAAATATGTTCAAACCGCATACCCCTAAGAAAAAAGAGAAAGAGATGCAGATTGGGACGGGAACGTCGTTCCCTATATAGGCGAAGAAAACGAATCGCGGAACAACTTGAGAGTCGCACCCTATCTCAAGAATGGCGAAGAAGGTTAGGTAGAGAAATAGAAACAGTTGAACTCAAGCTACAAGAATCATACAAAACCCAGGAGAGGCAAAGAGAGCAAAAGGCCATCCGTGAAATAGAGAGAAATCCGAAATATTTTTTCTCCTATGCAAAATCAAGATCAAAAACCACATCTATTATCGGGCCCCTGCGAAAGGGAGATGGAACTTTCACCGATGACAACAAAGAAATGAGCGAATTACTGAGGAAGCAGTATGACTCTGTTTTCAGCGAGCCATTAAATGCACTAAAGATTGATAACCCAAATGAATTTTTCATGGATATGATACCAACATCAAATCATATATCAGACGTCGCCCTATCCCCACTAGATTTTGAAGAAGCCATAAACAGTATGCCTATGCACTATGCACCAGGCCTGGATTCTTGGAACTCCATCTTCATCAAGGACTGTAAAAAAACACTATCGCAGGCCCTTCACATTCTGTGGAGACAAAGCCTAGATACTGGCGTTATCCCTGACATACTAAAAACAGCAGAGATAGCACCACTCCATAAAGGAGGAAATAAGACAGAGGCAAAAAATTACAGACCGATAGCACTAACATCGCACATCATAAAAAATTTTGAGAGAGTGCTAAGAAGTAAGATCACAAAATACATGGAATCACAGTATCTCCATAACTCCGGACAACATGGTTTCAGAACAGGGCACTCTTGCCTGTCGCAGTTGCTGGACCACTATCATATGGCATTAGATGCTATGGAAGACAAACAAAACGCTGATGTATTTTACACAGATTTCGCAAAAGCTTTTGATAAATGTGACCATGGTGTTATTGCACATAAAATGCGTTCAAAAGGAATTACCGGGAAAATAGGCAGATGGATCTACAATTTCCTGACTAACAGAACACAATGTGTAATAGTCAACAAAATAAAATCCAGCCCATCAACCGTGAAGAGCTCAGTCCCCCAGGGTACTGTGCTTGCTCCAGTACTTTTTCTCATCCTCATATCGGACATAGACCAGAACACAACCTATAGCACTGTATCATCCTATGCAGATGACACTAGGATTTTCATGAGAGTTGGCAACATAGAGGACACGGCAAACCTCCAATCAGATGTAAATCAGGTCTTTCTATGGGCTACAGAAAATAATATGGTGTTTAACGAGGATAAGTTCCAGCTCATGCGCTACGGAAAAATTGAAAATATAAAAACAGAAACCACGTACAAAACTCAGGCAAATCATAACATAGAACGAAAAGGCAATGTAAAGGATCTGGGTGTACTCATGTCGGAAGACCTTACCTTTAAAGAACACAATAAAGTAGCCGTCACAACTGCAAGAAAAATGACAGGTTTGATAACAAGAACTTTTCACACTAGAGATGCTATACTGATGATGATACTTATCAAAACGCTTGTGCTCTCTAGAGTGGAGTACTGCTGCACAATGACAGCCCCTTTCAAAGCTGGAGAAATTGCTGTCCTGGAGAGCGTGCAGAGATCCTTTACTGCTAGAATCCACTCAGTAAAACATCTAAATTACTGGGACCGACTAAAGAGCCTAAATCTGTACTCCCTTGAGTGCAGGCGGGAGAGATACATAATAATTTACACGTGGAAAATAATTGAGGGGCTGGTCCCTAACCTGCACACACAAATAACATCACATGAGACCAGAAGACATGGCAGGATGTGCAGAATACCCCCGTTGAAAAGCAGAGGTGCAACAGGTACTCTGAGAGAGAACTCTATCAACATCAGAGGCCGGAGACTGTTCAACGCGCTTCCACTACACATAAATAGCATAACTGGCCGACCCCTCACAGTGTTCAAGAGAGAACCGGATAAGCACCTCCAAAGGATACCTGATCAACCAGGCTGTGACTCATACATCAGGCTGCAAGCAGCCGCGTCTAACAGCCTGGTTGATCAGTCTAGCAACCAGGAGGCCTGGTCGACGACCGGGCCGCGGGGACACTAAGCCCCGGAAGCACCTCAAGGTAACCTCAATGTAAGGGGTGCCCACCCCGCACACAGTGAGCAAAGCAGCGCTCACCCCAAACTCAGTGAGCAAAGCAGCGACCACACCGCAAAAATGTGAGCACAGCAGCGCCCACCCTGCTCTCAGTGAGCACAGGGGCGCCAACCCCGAAAATAATGAGCACAGGAGCGCCCTCCCTGCACTCAGTGAGCACAGTGGCGCCCATCCCGCACTCAGTGAGTACAGTGGCGCCTACCCCGCACTCAGTGAGCACAGGGGCGGCCACCCCACACTCAGTGAGCACAGCAGCACCGACCCCACACTCAGTGAGCACAGCAGCGCCACCATTAACTCAGTGAACAAATCGGCGACCACCCCGCACTCAGTGAGCACAGTGGCGTCTACCCCTCGCTCAGTGAGCACAGCGGCGATCACCCTGCACTCAATGAGAACAGCGGCGATCACCCCGCACTCGATGAGCACAGCGGCGACCTCCCCGCAAAAAGTGAGCACAGCAGCGCCCACCCCGCAAAAAGTGAACACAGAAGCACCCTCCCTGCACTCAGTGAGCACAGCAGCGATCACCCTGTACTCAATGAGAACAGCGGCGATCACCCTGCACTCAGTGAGCAAAGCGGCGTCTACCCCGCACTCAGTGAGCACATCGGCGACCACCCCGCAAAAAGTGAACACAGAAGCACCCTCCCTGCACTCAGTGAGCACAGCAGCGACCACTCTCAGCTCAGTGAGCCCAGCAGCGCCGACGCCGCACTCAGTGAGCACAGCGGCACAGACCCCGCACTCAGTGAGCACAGCGGCGACCACCCCGCACTCAGTGAGCACAGCAGCGCCCACCCTGCACTTAGTGAGCACAGCGGCGCCCACCCCGCACTCAGTGAGCACAACAGCGACCTCCCCAGACTCAGTGAGCACAGCAGCGCCCACCCCACACTCAGAGAGCACAGTGGCCTCCACCCCACACTCAGTAAGCACAGCGGCGACCACCCCTCCTTCAGTGAGCACAGGGGTGACTACCCCACACTCAGTGAGCACAGCAGCGAGCACCCTGTACTCAGTGAGCACATCAACGAGCACCCTGCACTCAGTGAGCACAGCAGCAAGCACCCTGCACTCAGTGAGCACAGCGGTGACCACCCCACACTCAGTGAGCACAGCGGCGCCCACCCTGCACTCAGTGAGCGCAGCAGCGCCCACCCAGCACTCAGTGAGCAAAGCGGCGACCACCCAGCACTCAGTGAGCACATCGGCGACCACCCAGCACTCAGTGAGCACAGCGGCGCCCACCCCTCACTCAGTGAGCACAGAGCGACCTCCCTGCAAAAAGCGAGCACAGCAGCGCTCACCCCGGACTCAGTGAGCAAAGCAGCGACCACCCCGCACTCAGTGAGCACAGTGACGCCTACTCCACACTCAGTGAGCATAGCAGTGCCTACCCCCACAAAAAGTGAGCACAGCAGCGCCCAATCCACACTCAGTGAGCACAGCGGCGGTCACCCCACTCTCAGTGAGCACAACAGCGCCCAACCCGAACTCAGTGAGCACAGCGGCGACCTCCCCGCACTCAGTGAGCACAGCAGCGACCACTCTCAGCTCAGTGAGCCCAGCAGCGCCGACGCCGCACTCAGTGAGCACAGCGGCACAGACCCCGCACTCAGTGAGCACAGCGGCGACCACCCCGCACTCAGTGAGCACAGCAGCGCCCACCCTGCACTTAGTGAGCACAGCGGCGCCCACCCCGCACTCAGTGAGCACAACAGCGACCTCCCCAGACTCAGTGAGCACAGCAGCGCCCACCCCACACTCAGAGAGCACAGTGGCCTCCACCCCACACTCAGTAAGCACAGCGGCGACCACCCGTCCTTCAGTGAGCACAGGGGTGACTACCCCACACTCAGTGAGCACAGCAGCGAGCACCCTGTACTCAGTGAGCACATCAGCGAGCACCCTGCACTCAGTGAGCACAGCAGCAAGCACCCTGCACTCAGTGAGCACAGCGGTGACCACCCCACACTCAGTGAGCACAGCGGCGCCCACCCTGCACTCAGTGAGCGCAGCAGCGCCCACCCAGCACTCAGTGAGCAAAGCGGCGACCACCCAGCACTCAGTGAGCACATCGGCGACCACCCAGCACTCAGTGAGCACAGCGGCGCCCACCCCTCACTCAGTGAGCACAGAGCGACCTCCCTGCAAAAAGCGAGCACAGCAGCGCTCACCCCGGACTCAGTGAGCAAAGCAGCGACCACCCCGCACTCAGTGAGCACAGTGACGCCTACTCCACACTCAGTGAGCATAGCAGTGCCTACCCCCACAAAAAGTGAGCACAGCAGCGCCCAATCCACACTCAGTGAGCACAGCGGCGGTCACCCCACTCTCAGTGAGCACAACAGCGCCCAACCCGAACTCAGTGAGCACAGCGGCGACCTCCCCGCACTCAGTGAGCACAGCGGCGACTTCCCCACACTCAGTGAGCACAGCAGCGCCCACCCCGTACTCAGTGAGCATAGCAGCGCCCACCCAACACTCAGAGAGCATAGCGGCACCCTCCCCTTACTCAGTAAGCACAGCGGAGATCACCCTACAAAAAGTGAGCACAGAAGCGCCCACCTTGCACTCAGTGAGCAAGGTGGCGACCACCCTGCAAAAAGTGAGAACAGCAGCGCCCACTCTGCACTCAGTGAACACAGCAGCGCCCACCCAGGCCTCAGTGAGCACAGCGGTGCCCTCCCCTCACTCAGTGAGCATAGAGTGACCACCCCGCAAAAAGTGAGAACAGAAGCACCCACCCTGCACTCAGTGAACACAGCGGCGATCACCCTGCACACAGTGAGCAAAGCGGCGTCTACCGCGCACTTAGTGAGCACAGCAGCGGTCATCCCGCAAAAAAGTGAGCACAGTAGCGCCCGCTCTGCACACAGTGAGCACAGCGGCGAGCACCCCGCACTCAGTGAGTACAGCGGCGCCTACCCAGCATTCAGTGAGCTCAGCGGCGCCGACCTCGCATTCAGGGAGCACAGCAGCAGCCACCCCGCACTCAGTGAGCACCGCGGCGCCCACCTTTCACTCAGTGAGCATAGTGGCGACCTCCCCGCACTCAGTGAACACAGCGGCGCCGACCCCGCACTCAGTGAACACAGCGGCGCCCACCCCGCACTCAGTGATTACAGCGGCGCCCACCCTGCACTCAGTGAGCTTAGCGGAGCCCAATCCCCACTCAGTAAGCATAGTGGCGACTACCCCGCAAAAAGTGAGCACAGTAGCGCAAATGTTGCACTCAATGAGCACGGCGGAGGGCACCCCGCAAAAATAGAGTACAGTGGCGCCCACCCCGCACTCAGTGAGCAGAGCGGCGCCGACCTCGTACTCAGTGAACACAGCGCCGACCACCCAGCAAAAAGTGAGCAAAGCAGCGTCTACCCCGCACTCAGTGAGCAAAGCAGCGACCACCCCGCAAAGATGTGAGCACAGCAGCTCCCACCCTGCACTCAGTGAGCACAGTAGCGACCACACTCAGTGAGCACAGCAGCGACCACCCCAAGCTCAGTGAGCACAGTGGCACAGACCCCGCACTCAAAAAGTATAGCGCTACCGACCCCGCACTCAGTGAGCACAGCGGCGCCTGCCATACCTTGCCTTGAGGTCACCTTGAGATGTTTCCGGGGCTTAGCGTCCCCGCAGCCCGGTCGTCGACCAGGTCGCCTGACTGATCAACCAGGCTGTTGGACGCTGCTGCTCGCAGCCTGACATATGAGTCACAGCCTGGTTGATCAGGTATCCTTTGGAGGTTCTTATCCAGTTCTCTCTTGAACACTGTGAGAGGCAGTTATGTCCCTTATGTGTAGCGGAAGCGTGTTGAACAGTCTTGGGCCTCTGATGTTGACCATGCACTCAGTGAGCATGCCGGCGTTACCCCAGCAGTCAGTGATGACAGCCGCACCCACCCCGCAAAAAGTTAGCAAAAAAGCTCCCACCCTGCACTCCCATCGAGCACAGGCTCGAAAACCCCGCGGTCAGTCAGCATAGCAGTGAGCCCTCACGTGCCAACCCCGCACTCAGTGAGCACAGCACCGCCCACCCCACACTCAGTGAGGACAGTGGCGCCGACCCCGCAAAAAGTGAGCACAGCAGCTCCACCCTGCACTCTCTGACCACAGCAGCGAGCATCCCGCAATGAGTGAGCACAGCAGTGCCCATCCCGCACTCAGTGAGCACAGCGACACCCACCCCGCACTCAGTGCGCACCGCAGTGCCTACCCATCAAACACAAATCATGTAGAAAACGTTCGTCTATCTCTTCCCATAGGTGTGGGAATGATTTGCATTGAGAATGGTGCAGGAGAGCCTTTGAGAAACTTTTAATCAAAAAATCCAAACACAAAGGTTTTATAATAAATTGTTTTTCTACAACTATTTTGCTCCTAATGTATTACAAATAGTTTTTACTTGTTTAAATATAAAATTTATTGTGTTTTTTGTAAAATTCATTATTAAATTGTGAATGATATTTATTGGCTCAGTGAAGCGTTCAAAATCCATTTAGTTATAATATGATCAGAAAAAAATAGTTTTCCAAATTTTCTAAAAATCCCTCTTTTTAACACAATTTGACTCCTTATGCATTCCACTAAACACTAATATCATGTTTAAATATATAATTTATGTATTATTCCCTAAGATAATTTATATAAATTATAAAAGTTGCTGGAAAGTGGTGTGAAAGAATCTGAAAACGTTTTGTTGTCTTATATTGGCGTGTTCTTATTAACTATGTCTCAAGTGCACAGTTTATCAAACAAGAAGATTAACATTCGACAACCCTTAAAATCTTATATGTTATCTTGCTGGTGCAAAATGGGTGAATCTTTAAGAACAGTATCTATATGACAAATGGTGTTTTCCCTAACTCAAACATTGTAGGGTTTATTATTCTACACATATTTCTAATGACTCTTAGATGTTTACGTTCTCTGAAGTATAATTGTGAAGGCTGTGTCCACCACCAGTAAGAGTGATTGGAGTGAGTAAGAGTGAGTATAAGAGTGAGTAAGAGTAAGAGTGACTGAAGGAGAGTGACAGTGTAAGAGTGAGTGAGAGTAAGAGTGACTGAAGGAGAGTGACAGTGTAGGAGTGAGAGTAAGAGTGAGTAAGAGTGACTGAAGGAGAGTGACAGTGTAGGAGTGAGTGAGAGTGACAGAGTGTGTAAGAGTGAGTGAGAGTGAGTAAGAGTGAGTGAGAGTGTGTAAGAGTAAGAATGAATGAGAGTGTGTAAGAGTGAGTAGGAGTGAGTGAGAGTAAGAGTGATTGAGAGTAGGAGGGAGTGAGAGTAAGAGGGAGTGAGAGTGAGTGAGAGTAAGAGGGAGTGAGAGTGAGTGAGAGTAAGAGTGAGAGAGTAAGAGTGAGTAAGAAAGAGTGAGTGAGTAAGAGTGAGTGAGAGTAAGAGTGATTGAGAGTGAGTAAGAGTGAGCGAGAGTGGGTAAGAGTGACTGAGAGTAAGAGTGAGAGAGTAAGAGTGACTGAAGGTGAGTGAGAGTGCCAGAGAGTGTGTTAGTGTGAGTAAGAGTGAGTAAAAGTAAGAGTGAGTGAGAGTAAGAGTGACAGAGTGATTGAGAGTAAGAGTAAGGGTGAGTAAGAGTGATTGAGAGTGAGAGTAAGAGTGATTGAGAGTTAGAGTGAGAGTAAGAGTGATTGAGAATGAGAGTAAGAGTGATTGAGAATGAGAGTAAGAGTGATTGAGAGTAAGAGTGAGTAAGGGTGAGTATGAGAGTAAGAGTGACTGAGAGTGAGAGTAAGAGTGATTGAGAGTTAGAGTGAGAGTAAGAGTGATTGAGAATGAGAGTAAGAGTGATTGAGAGTTAGAGTGAGAGTAAGAGTGATAGGGATTAGGAGTGAGAGTAAGAGTGATTGAGAGTAAGAGTGAGAGTAAGAGTAAGAGTAAGAATGAGAGTAAGAGTGATTGAGAGTAAGAGTGATTGGGAGTAAAAGTGAGAGTAAGAGTGATAGAGAGTAAGAGTAATTGAGAGTGAGTGAGAGTAAGAGTGATAGAGAGTAAGAGTATGAGAGTAAGAGTGAGAGAGTGAGTATGAATGGGTAAGGGTGACTGAGAGTGAGTAAGAGTGACAGAGTAAGAGTGACAGAGTAAGAGTGAGAGTAAGAGTGAGTATGAGAGTGAGTATGAGAGTGAGTAAGAGTGGGTAAGAGTGAGTAAGGATGACTGAGAGTAAGAGTGAGTAATAGTGTGTATGTCGGAAAATCCGACACCATTTAATATCATACAGATAATAGCTGTATTACCAACAAGTTACCCATAGAAAACGTAACTTGTAGTGGAATTACCGTCTAAAGAAAACGGGATATCATCACCACATACTATTATAATTCACCACCTATTCTGCTGGGAATTATTCTTAAATACATTAGTCTTTGGACTTTACCATCATAAAAACATCTTATATAAATTAACTTAATTATCAATATTAAAGTAGAGTAAATGTGACCCTTCTATCACTTTCTGAAATCTGGACAAAGTAGGCCAGGCGTCAGAGTGAGGAAGGAGGGCAGCCATTGTTGTGTCACCTCCGAGACGTGTGGAGCAAATTCGGCTCCTATCATTCTGGACAATGTCGGCCAGTAACGTCAATAGTATGGAGTGTTAAACAGCCATTGTTTATACTAGACCAGAGGCTCACACAGGAGCAAATTCGGCTCCTGTTAATTTTACTTGGACGTAGTGTTATGGAAACCAGAAGTGTACCATTGTCAACACGCTGTCTACAAATTCAAGTTAAGTGTCTATCCGAAACCCGTTTATCATTCATTTATGGCCATTAATGTCAGGATATAGGGTGACCCGGTTAGATCGCGAAATCGCCTCAAACTAAAGGTAATTAAGCCAGGTCTTCATGTTCCATGTACTGTATAGTGTTTTCTCTGATATAGCTTGTCATATATAGGATTCTGGCTTCACAGCTAGCGCACTTTTGACAGGTCAAGACGAGGATGCAAGATTTGTGCACCAGTTACTGGGTGATATGGAAGCTACCTCAAAGAGGATAATTTGGTGTCTACACCCTAGTTATACCTGGTGGACTAACCTGCTGTACTATAAGATAAGGAACCTCATCAATGTATGTAGCTATTACTGTAGTTTGATTGGCTGCATATATATTAATTTAATAACCCCCCCTAATGTGTAGAGGATCGATTTGTGAGATTATGAGATTATTGCAGAAATACAGTCCACTTATCATTATACAAATTGCTATCGAAGTATATAAATTAACGTAAATATAAATTCATATAAATTAAATAAATATAAATCTCACAGGTCGGTTCCCACATTATTTGGTCATCTTCGAACCGGATGACGGAATATTCGGTCCTTTGAACCCACATTTGGTCATCTTAGTACCGGATGAACCAGTTAACCAGTGGATTCATTAAATATACTAGTGCAGTGTTATTTAAACAAAGCCAGCCAGTCAAGACAGCGGCGTTGCCTCGTGGGAGCTCAGGAGCCTCCCTCAGCCCAGTTCAGCTTCGTCAGCGGTTTCATGCACACCCACAGATATTTGGTGGCGTGTTATTTCGTGAAATGACAGCGCTAATATTGAAACCAGCCAAATTAGTGACTGTGTCTTCGCGAGATTGTTCACGGATTTCGTGGTGTTACATTTCGCGAGAGATTATCTACGAATTTTGTGGAGTTTATTTCGCGAGGTCACTAATAATATTTAATACTTCTAGATAATATTAGAAGTTTCATAGAGGCTAATTAAGAGGCTATTATCAATAATTGTGTATATTATTTCTCCAAAATAGAGAATTATTTAATATATATTGCACTAGTGATCACAGTATAATATTTACTAATTGCCAACCCACAACAGGGTAGGATATTACCATTGACTAGTTGAACTATTATTGTTCATCCTAGTCCCATTATTACCATAGTCAGTTGTACTATATTGAACAACCTAACACCATTAATGAATGGTCCAGACCCTATTTTGGGTGTAATTTTTATCAACTCGAGTTGAGTTGTATATATAATAATTTACTTATGATCATTACACCTTTGAGTGATTAATTAGTGTCTCTACCATCCTAGGGTGATATAGAAGAGCTAACCTAAAGGTACTTCCAGTGACACTGGTTTATCACTCAAATCATTAGTGTGTATGATTGTATATATATAATGTGTATTAATTTTAAGTGCTAACCTCTAGTAGAGGTAGGATTATTGCCTAGTGAGTGCAGAATTTACCCTAGGCTACCATTAGTGCTTGTTCAGTATTATGAGCAGCCCAAGTACAAGCCCCACAAGGCTTCACCAACTAGCCAGTATGGATAATGCAGGGAGAATGAAAAGAACCCTTGCAGGTCTTAAAGGCCACTTAACAAGACAGATCAAGAAATGTGAAGATTTGTCACAACAATCTCAAGTTGATTATGCTGACCTGGAA